ATTTTGCTGAATTCTGTCATCAGTTCTAGGAGCTTTCTGGAGGAATCCTTAGAGTTTTCAAGGTAAACAACCATATCGTCAGCAAACAGGGATAGTTTGACTTCCTCTTTACTGATTTGGATGCCCTTTATTTCTTTCTCTTGTCTGATTGCTCTGGCTAGGACTTCCAGACTATGTTGAAGAAGAGTGGTGAGAGTGGGCATCCTTGTCTTGTTCCCGTTCTCAAAGGGAATACTTTCAACATTTCCCCATTCAGTATTATGTTGGTTGTGGGTTTGTCATAGATGACTTTTACGTTAAGGTATGTCCCTTGTATGCCAATTTTGCTGAGGGTTCAATAATAAAAGGATGCTGGATTTTGTCAAATGCTTTTTCTGAATCTGTTGAGATGATCATGTGATTGCTGTTTTTAATTTTGTTTGTATGGTGTATCACATTTATTGACTTGCATATGTTAAACCATCCCTGCATCCCTGGCATGAAACCTACTTGATTATGGTGGATTATCTTTTTGATATGCTGTTGGATTCAGTTAGCTAGTATTTTGTTAAGGATTTTAGCATCTATGTTCATCAAGGATATTGATCTGTAGTTTTCTTTTTTGGTTGTGTCATTTTCTGGTTTTGGTATTAAGGGTGATGCTGGCTTCATAGAATGAATTAGGGAGGATTCCTTCTTTCTCTATCTTGTGGAATAGCCTCAAAAGGATTGGTATCAATTCTTTGAATGTCTAGTAGAATTCTGCTGTGAATCTGTCTGGTCCTAGACTTTCTTTTGTTGGTAATTTTTAAATTACCATTCAATCTCACTGGTTGTTATTGGTCTGTTCAGGGTAGCTAATTCTTCCCAATTTAAGTTAGGAGGGTTGTATTTTCCCAGGAATTCATCTATCTCTTCTAGGTTTTCTAATTTGTGTGTGCAAAGGTGTTCATAGCAGCCTTGAATGATCTTTTGTATTTCAGTGGTGTCAGTTGTAATAGCTCCCGTTTCAATTCTTAGTGAGTTTATTTAGATTTTTTATCCTCTTTTCTTGCTTAATCTTGCTAATGTACCATCATTCAAAGTTGACCAAAGTATTTTTTTTTTTTAATTTCTGTCAATATGAACCTGTGAGTTCCAGTTCATATCCCCATTGGTGCTCAAATAACAAACTTCAAATTGGTCTCTGGCTACTTTTGATGTGAATCTAGTAGATTTGTTTGTTTTGTATATAATAAGATATTCCAGGTTCATTTGTGTATTTCCTTACCCACACTTATATTCAGCCATTTCTCCAAGGAACCCCCGTTCCCTTGTAGTGAATATGGCATTTGGGACCAAAGACTGAAATGTAAAAATGATGAGTATTACTAAATTGATTATTTTCTCTCAACTTTTTCAGTGTCCCCAACCAGAAAATATTACTTAAAAAATAAAGTATATCAGCGTTTCTACTGATAATTACAGGATTTTACTTAACCTCATATCTTTTTCCCAAATCTCTCTTCTTCCTTGCCAAAAATAATAGTTCCTTGGTGTAATTACTCATTTTCTTTATTACATAATGCTTGCACAACAATTTTGGAATAATATTGCCAATACTAATAACAACAGTATAGTTATTGCAAACAAACTTAACAGGTTTTTGAAAAAACATTTTGGCCTTGAGATAGTTAATTTCTCTGAAGTTATGCCAGGACATACAGTTAGATTCCATTGTTGCTGTGGTGGTTTTAGTGATTTTGAGAGATTTTTTAAATTTAATATTTTTATAAATATGTGAAATATTTACATGGGTGCAAAGTCAAAGCTACAGTAAAAGATACATTCAAAAATAATCTAGTGTCTGTTTCTATCTTCTCTGTTCTATTCCCTCCATCCTCTATGGGTCAACTTTTAAAAAACAAATAGAGGCCGTGTGCAGTGGCTCATGCCTGTAATCCCAACATTTTGCGAGGCTGAGGCAGGTGGATCACAAAGTCAGGTGTTCAAGACCAGGCTGGCCAAGATGGTGAAACCCCATCTCTATTAAAAATACAAAAATTAACCAAGCGTGGTAGTGGGCACCTGTAATCCAGTTACACAGGAGGCTGAGGTGGAGAATTGCTTGAACACGGGAGGTGGAGGTTGCAGTGAGCCGAGATCACACCACTGCACTCCAGCCTGGGTGACAAAGTGAGACTCCGTCTCAAACAACAACAACAACAACAAAACAAAATATGGTTGATTCTTCCATTATTTTTTTCTTTGTTTTTCAGCTACATTAAGTTACAATTGACATATACTTAAAATTCACAGTTTGATGTTTTGACAGAAGTCCCTCTTTCCTGTTTTCTCATCTCCTCTCTCTCTATTCTTCTGTCATTTTTTAAAGTGTAAGCAAATATGCTTTCAATATTTATATCCTGGATTTTTAAAACATACTGTTGTAGAACAATTGTACACATTTTTCTCCACTGCTTTATTGTCTCTTAACAATATCTACTGGCAATTAATTTATAGCAGCCTATAGAGACACTCCTTATTCCTTTTGACAGCTGCATAGTACTCCACCATGGGAAGGCATCACAGTTTATTCACCAGTACCCTATTGAAGGACACCCGGGTTGTATCCAGTATTGTTGTAGGTTTTAGTTTTTTTCCCAAATAGAACTGTTATGAATCATCTTGTGCAACATCTTTCATATATTTACCTGAGTATCTTTGAGATATTTTATGGAATTGGGATAGCTGAGTCAAAGAATAAGTCTGCTAGTTATTGCCAAACCTTCACAAGAAAAATGCGAGCATGCCTATTTTCACATCATCTCACTTCCAGAGAATGCTGTCAGATTTTGCATTTTTGACAATCTAACAGGTGAGAAGTGTCATACCATATTATTTCATTTCTCTTATAATGCATGAGATTGAGTATATTTATACGGTGGTGAAATATTTGCATTTTATTTTCCCATTAGGCTGTTGGTCTGTTTTCTATCTATTTTCAGAAGTCTTTTTTCCTTCTTCTTCCTCTGTCACCCACACTGGAGGGCAGTGGTGCAATTTTGGCTCACTGCAACCTCCACCTCCTGGACCCAAGCAATCTTCCCACCTCAGCTTCCTGAGTAGCTGGGACCACAGATGCATGCCACCTCGCCAATTTTTTTCTTCTTTTTGTGTGTGTGTGTGTGTGTGTTTTTTTTTTGTAGAGATGGGGTTTTACCAAGTTAACCAAGTTGGTCTCAAACTCTTAAACTCAAGTAATCCGCCCACCTTGGCATCCCAGAGTGCTGGGATTACAGGTGTGAGCCACCGTGTCCGGTCTCAGAAGTCTTTTATATATTATTAACCCTTTTTCTGTGATATATATTGTGAGTCTGTTTTTATTATTTAGTCATTTGTGTTTTTACCTTGTTTATGATGGTTTCTTATCATCCATCTTTTTTTTTTTTAATTTTACTTTAAGTTCTGGAATACATGTGCAGAACGTGCAGGTTTGTTACATAGTTATACATGTGCCATGATGGTATGCCGCACCTATCAATCCGTCATCTAGGTTTTAAGCCCTGCATGCATTAGGTATTTGTCCTAATGCTCTCCCTACCTTTGTCCCCCACCCCCCAACAGGCTCCGGTGTGTGATGTTCCCCTCCCTGTGTCCATGTGCTCTCATTGTTCAACTCCCACTTAGGAGTGAGAACATACCACGCGTCTTTTTAATTATAAATAATTGTTTTTAAATACCAGCAGGGATTTAATTGCAAAATGTGCATGTGCAAAATGTTCCTTGAACACTCTAGGAGAGACGCACTTTCCCTATTATAGACCGTGTGACTTCAATCTATCTGGGCCTCAAGTACCTTGGAGGTAAATAATTCAGAAAATGTGTGTCTACATCATAGAATCCTTGTGAAGTATAAGCAAGATAACAGTTATAGAGGACTCAGAAAATTCCTGACACGTAGTAAGCACTCAACAAATTAGAACTATTAGTATTGTTTCATCTTTCACTGGGAGTGCACAGATTAAATACGTAATTGTTATTTTGTTCACTAATCACACAATTCTCTAAATAGTTGCTAAACCCTTTCCTATACATGTTTCTTATTTGTCTTGTTTAAGCATCTGTAGGACAGAAATTAAAGCTTGATTTCATTTCTCTGTGTATCAGGCAAAATATCTCCAACATACATTGTGAGAGAAAACAGCTTTTGAGTACGAGAAAATATACTTTCAATAACACTTCAGTTAAACATATTCATTGGGTATCTTGACTTACCAACAAAATAGAACAGAAATGTTCCCTATGATCCACATCTTTGAAGAACATGCCAATAATAATTTATAAAGGGACCCATCATGCTGATGTGTTTTTACTTTTAAAAGCAATGAATCATTGCAGTATATCTGTTTCAAGCTGAATAGATTCAATAACATGAAACAGACAGGAATCTCAGTGGGATCTTTTCCATCTCACTGACTAGTCACAAAATTCAAAGGAATCACAGTGTTCCTCATTATACAAAAGTTACCTCCCATCACCCCCCAAATCTTTCATCCCACTCTCCTACCCACATTCTATGTGATTTATTTTTAACCTCTTTGAGAGCAGAGGAGATTTAGTCATCATAAAATCTATTCTCAACTTATTATCCAGGAGTCAAATAAATAAAGAATTAACACTTATGGAATCCAATCAAACAATGTCATGTAATGGGTCTACACATCAGAAGACACATCAGATGAAGGAAGGAGAATGAGAGCTGATTCACTTGGCTTAACCAAATTGGATAGCTCAGAATACAACAGGAAAAGGAAATGGTGCCTTTTCTATTTACAGAAATATTTACCAGATAAGCACAACTATCTAATTTACTGAAAAAGAGCTGATTCTCTATTAGTAATGTGCAAACCACAAGATTATTCACATGGTCATAGTAGCTCTCAGCAGGGTATAAAAAGCAAAAGAGAGAGCAAGGAGAGATCAAACTCAGAAAACTCACTCTCCTAGAAACCCACCGAGAACCTCCACCCTCTGACACCATGGTCAGCTCCTGTTGTGGTTCCGTCTGCTCTGACCAGGGCTGTGGACTGGAGACCTGCTGCCGCCCCAGCTGCTGCCAGACCACCTGCTGCAGGACCACCTGCTGCCGCCCCAGCTGCTGCCGCCCCTGCTGCTGCCTGCGTCCAGTCTGTGGCCGAGTCTCCTGCCACACCACTTGCTATCGCCCAACCTGTGTCATCTCCACCTGCCCCCGCCCCTTGTGCTGTGCCTCCTCTTGCTGCTAAAGCTCTGCCATGAACACACCAGTTCCTTATTACCTCCTTTCCTACAGATGAGGGCTCTCTTTTCAAATATGTGTCCCATAAGCAAGCCTCATCCTTAGAAATTCTGTATCTTCATTCTACCTTTTGTCCAGACTCCCTGCCTTCCAAATGAATTCATTGACAATCTCCTAATAAATTGACAAATTGCCCTCCAACATCCCCCTACCTCTTTGACTTCAGGACATTTATTCATCGTGCCTAAGGAATTTGAAGACTGCCTCCATCATTTGTAGGGCCACAGATCTTAATGCCTCCGACCTTGAAGTCCAGTGAAGTCTCTCTCTTAAAGTCTTTCGCAAACCTTTTTGCACCTTGTTATTTCCATATACCAAAATAAACCTCTATTCTATTGGCATCGAAAACTGAATATGGCTGTTATTCTCTTTTTAAAAAGGGGTTTATATTTGGGTTCTGGGTGATTACATTTAACGACTCCTGTAGGGCAGACAGCACAGATTAGTCAAACTTCCAACAGAGGTCAACTGACATCGATCACTGCCTAGTTTTTTTCTAGAAAAGTCTTTTCAGGTTTAGTCAAATCAGTTAGTCATTTTGTAGTCTTTAGACAAAAAGAGTGAAGCTGAAGTCATGAAATATCCATGAATGTAACAACAGGGGAAACGTTCTGGAAAGATTGAACACAATTCATTCTCTTTTAAAAAATAATTTCAACTTTTATTTTAGAATCAAAGAGTACATATTCATATTTGTTACATGTTGTGTGATGCTGAGGTTTGGGGTACAAATGATTCTGTCACCAGGTAGTGAGCAATGGGTCATTTTTAGCCCTTTCTTTCTCCCTCTCTCCCCCCTTTTGGAGTCCCCAATTGTTCTCATCTTTGTGTTCATGTGTACCCAATGTTTAGCTTCCATTTGTAAGTGAGAACATGCAATATTGGTTTTCTGTTCCTGGAATAATTTGCTTAAGATAATGTCCTCCAGCCACCTCCATGTTGCTGCAAAGGACATAATTTCATTCTTTTTTATGGCTGTGTAGTATTCCACGGTGTGAAGATGTCACATGTTCTTTATCCAATGCACTATTGATGGGCACCTAGACTGATTCCATGTCTTTACTATTGTGAAGAGAGCTGTGATCTTTTAAAAGACTGTCTTTCAATTTCTTCTTCTTCTCCTTCTCCTTCTCCTTCTTCTTCTTCTTTTTGCCAGTAAAAGCAGCTAATAGGTGATTTAGCATAGTCCATGTATTTTTTACTGAGTCATGTGCAATGAAACCTCAACACAAACACAGTGGATGTGCTTCATTCTGACTGGTAGAGTTTCAGTGGGGAGTTCATGCTGCCATGTAGAGGGGACCACCTTCAGGGCCAGGCAGGTGATGGAAATGAAGGAAGTACACCTGGTGAAAACTCATAGGTATGCTGGAGACTGATTTTTGTTTCTTTTCGTCCAAAGTCATGCCCAGTTTTTAGGATGGAACTATAAAGACTCGCATTTTTCCCCAACTAGGGATGTCTTTAGTGGGTCATCTCATCTCCAGAACTCCCTGTAGGTTCGTCTGAGACTTCCACTGAGATTGCCCTGCAGTTTCATTTATCTTAGTGTCAACACCGATCTTTCTCTCCATTTCCTTTCCCTTCCCTTCCCTTCGCATCCGTTCCTTTCCCTTCCTTTCCCTTTCCTTCCCTTCCCTTTCCCTTTCCTTTCCTTTCCCCTTCCCTTTCCCTTTCCTTCAGTTTCCCCTACCCTTTCCCTTTCCCTCCCTTTCCCCTCCCCTCCCCTCCCCTCCCCTTCCCTCCCCTTCCCTCCCTTTCCCTCCCCTTCCCTCTCCCCTCCCCTTCCCTCCCCTTCCCTCCCTTTCCCTCCCCTTCCCTCCCCTCCTCTCCCCAGTGTTAATCCCAAGAACATGCTTCAATAAACCTCCTGCATGTTGCTCTCCATCTCAGTGTCTGCTTCCTGGGGAACGCAGCCTGTCCCCCAGAACAATGTGAAATTCATGATAGCTAATTTGAGAGCTCAGATGACTGACTGAAATGTACTTTTAATATTTTAGTTCATGAAAGAAATAAGAATGTAAACAAAAGAGCAGAAAATATATTTAACAGAATCTGCAGAAAAAATTATGAATTTTTATAAATCATATTTATTATTTTCTAAGGATTTTTGTATCATTTACACACAAATATATGCTCTTTAAACATTTAGACGATACGAAAGAATGTGACCAAAAGTAAGTTTCCCATCATGGTCTTTGCTGATTCCATTCAATACCTAATGTTACAAATTGAGATACAACCTCATTAAATGCATGTGTAACACATGTATGTATTTATTCGAAAACCTGGCTTTGGTTGCACCTCACTTGTTCTGACATTTATTCAAACATTATTTTATATCTTTCAGGAAATGTTAACACTTTCCTTCATATAGGCTTGGCAGATTTATTTACATATTTTTCTATTTACTCTTGAGAATTGTGAGCACATTTTTCTTTTTTTTTTATTATACTTTAAGTTCTAGGGTACATGTGCACAACGTGCAGGTTGGTTACATATGTATACATGTGCCATGTTGGTGTGCTGCACCCATTAACTCGTCATTTACGTTAGGTATTTCTCCAAATACTACCCCTCCCCCACATCCACACTCCACAATAGGCCCCAGTGTGTGATTTCTCTCCATTAAATTTTAGAAAGAATTATTGCTAGTGTATAAAAAGTCTACAAGTTAGTATAAGTTTGTATTTTATCTGATCTCATGATTAATACTAATACCCAGCTGACTCTCCAGGATTTTGTAGGTGTGCAATCATGGTGGCCAAGTGCCTCCAGCTTCAGGCCTTTCCCCGGGGTTCGTCCCCAGCTGCCCACAGTGGGGGCCCTACCATTAACACAAACATTCTTGGGATTTTCTACCTTTCCTGTCTTACTTTCACCATTTCCTCACTTGTGCTTCCTGGGATCATCCCCCAGATAAATTATGTGCACTCAAGTCTTTTTCTCAAGGTTGGCATTGGGTAGAATTTAAGCTAAGACAACAGATGATCAGCAAATATTTTTGGCTGGTTGATATCAAACTGGAAATAATAGTTATTTCAATTAATAAGAGTAAAACGAGGAAGTCAGGAGGTAAAGGAGAATCAGTCCTACCATTTGGTGTTTACCTCCTTCCTGTCTTTTTACTGTGTGAATATAGGCATGCATGTTAAACACTGTAGTCCTGGTTATCTATAAACAAGTCTCATTCTACAAATTGACTGTTAACTTCCACAACTTTCCACATAGGTTGTTTATCAGGTGACATGTTACCTACCACATAAATGAGTTTAGTCTTCCTGAAATGAAACTATGATCTCTTTGTTTGGAATGCTTTCCTCTCTTTTATCCAGAAGTCAAAAGATATGTACATTTTTAAAGGACCTTATATGACTCTATGTCATCAAAAAGCCTTCATTCACTCGACAAATATTTACCACCAGTGTTCTCTGTGCTGAGTATCATAGTAATAAGAATAAATGCCATAGCCCATGGCTTCAGGGTATTTGCATTGCACGTGGTGGAATGACAGGAGTAAATGACTATGATACAGTAGAATGTATCAAATTATGAGCACAAGGCAGGAAATAGTGATACATGAATGGGTTAGCTTATCAAGAAAGATATTATTGAGGAGGAAATATTTTAACTGGGTCTTGACACATGAGTAGGAGTGTGCAGAATGGATAAAAAAGATGAAACGTTCCAAAGATAAAACAGTTTCTGCAAGCTTAGCAAATTTTATTCTTTACCGCTGTCTTGACTACACTAAGACATACTAGGCTTTCTCTTTAATCTTGGACAAGTTTTCTGTTTGTTTGCTTTAACTTTTTAATGCTTCTTTTGACTATTCCCCTAAAAGACTAATAAGAATATAAACTAGTTCATAAGGTCGTATTCAAGCGTGAAAATGAAACAAATATAAGATATTTGATACAATGCCTCCTATGTAATCAATACTTCACAAGTAATATACATACCCTGAGGGTGTATGGAACTTATCCACATACTATACATTTTTTATTTTAGTTATTTAATGAAAATAATTGTAATTCTTTTCATTTCTGCTGAACTCTGTTTCCTATCTAAGTGTCTTATGCAAGTACCTGCAAGAAAAAGGTGAGGGTTTGTCTGTTCTACACCCAGAGTACCCAGTAGAACATCTTGGATGTATGTTATTGAAGCCTTAATAATTCTAAATATTCTTTATATATAACAAATGCTTTTGTAAATGAAAAACCCATCATGCAATTTTGATGATCAAAGATTAATCAGGCTGGGCACGGTGGCTCATGCCTGCAATCCCAACACTTTGGGAGGCCAAGGCGGGCGGATCACAAGGTCAAAAGATCCAGACCATCTTGGCCAACATGGTGAAATCCTGTCTCTACTAAGAGTACAAAAGTCAGCTGGGTGTGGTGGCGCACACCTGTAGTCCCAGTTACTAGGAAGGCTGAGGCAGAAGAATCGCTTGAACCCAGGAGGTGGAGGTTGCAGTGAGCCAAAATCATGCCACTATACTCCAGAGTGAGACTCTGTCAAAACAAACAAACAACAACAACAAAAAAAAAACAAAAAGAAAAGGTAAATAAAAACTTCCTACTCTTAATGCCTATACTGTAAGACATACAGCAAAATGTGTTTTTACCCTTTAAAGGCAGTGAGTCATGGGTAAGTACTTTCGCTGGAGGCTGTGGAATAAGATCTGACAAAGAATTTAGAACTTGTTGGAATCTGACCATCTACCCCACCATCCAAGATGCACACACGGGATCAGAGTCATCTTCATTACAGATGGGACTTCCTTCCCCAGATGAGTCCTACCTTCTAATCCCTTTCCAACATTTCACCTGACCAGGACATTCTTGGACAACAAAAGATACATTCACATTATAAAAATCGTCCCCCATGATTTGCAGACAGCAATCGACAGGTAGGAGGGAGAGTCACAATTAAAAACAAAATGTCAGAGAGTCCTGTGACCAGTAAAAGATGCTTTGTAAAAGACACAGCATAGACCAGGGACAAAGGTGACCCCTCACTAAGGAAGAAATATGACGAGCATTTCCAAAGGAAACGCAGGAGCACAGCAGGAAAAGGAAATCGGTTATTTTCTCAGTTTTGGAGTATTTAACTAGACACACACAATTATGTAATTACATGATGAATTTTTCCAGCAGGTAAATAATAACAAGGAAATAATGACATGGTGGCAATGAGCCTTCAGGAGGGTATAAAGGGGATATGGACCCAGGAGACTTCCAAACACAAGAACTTCACTCTCCTGGAAACCCAAGTAGATCCTTCACCCTCTGACACCATGGTCAACTCCTGTTGTGGCTCTGTGTGCTCTGACCAGGGCTGCGGCCAAGACCTCTGCCAGGAGTCCTGCTGCAGCCCCAACTGCTGTCAGACCACCTGCTGCAGGACCACGTGCTGTCGTCCCAGCTGCTGTGTGTCCAGCTGCTGCAGGCCCCAGTGCTGCCAGTCTGTGTGCTGCCAGCCCACCTGCTGCCACCCCAGCTGCTGTCAGACCACCTGCTGCAGGACCACCTGCTGCCGCCCCAGCTGCTGTGTGTCCAGCTGCTGCAGGCCCCAGTGCTGCCAGTCTGTGTGCTGCCAACCCACCTGCTGCCGCCCCAGCTGCTGCATCTCCAGCTGCTGCCGTCCCTCTTGCTGTGAATCCAGCTGCTGCCGCCCCTGCTGCTGCCTGCGTCCAGTCTGTGGCCGAGTCTCCTGCCACACCACTTGCTATCGCCCAACCTGTGTCATCTCCACCTGCCCCCGCCCCTTGTGCTGCACCTCCTCTTGCTGCTGAACCCCCTGCCCTGGCTCACCTCCCACTTCACCGCTGGCCCACAGATGTAGACCCTTCTTCTGTGCTGGCTATGAGGACACATGGAGTGGGGTTGATGTCATTCAGCAGGGTTGTTTCCAATGAGCCCATCACCATCCCGCTGACTCTGTGAGAACATTCTGGTTCATTGTAAACTCCCTCCCTTGCTTTCTTTTTCTTCCAGTCATGGCACCAAATGTGAATTAATTTGTAATTCACTAGCTAAGAAATTATTCCAATCCTCTAAATTCCTCATTTTTTAAATCATTTTGAGCCGATAGAGTATCCTTCCCAATGAGGTAGACATTATCTCCCTATCAAACATTATTTGTCTGTCAGCCTTTCAGTCATTCTTTCCTCTTGCAAAGCTAGGAGGCTTTGCCTCCCATGCTCTCCTGCTTTCTCCCTGCTCTCTCTTTGCCTTTCTGTTTGATCACGTTTGCCAGCATTTTTCTATTTTATTAGTTCTTTATTGTGTTCACAAAATATATTTTATTAAACTTTTCATGTAGAAATCTTTCATTATTGTTTTTTGTACTTTTTGTGATTACTTTCACTAAGTTTTCTGATTCATGGGGGTGAGGTGGGAATGCAGTAGAAGGGGATTCTCAAAGCATGATTTCAAAGTAAGACTTCAGGTGTGAACTCATAGTGCCAAACTGCTCCAATGTCACAGATCAACTAAAATAAAATAGAAGCTTTTCACTGTTTCAATTTGATATATGGAATGCTTTCGGATAGGTAAAGCCCCCAGTATTGCTGTTTATAAGTTCATCCATGATTTTGGAACTTAGGATATCACAGTAACCTGATATCTGTCTGAAAGACAGAGTGGGCTTCTCAGTGGGAGAGACAGCATCTAGTGCTGTAAGAGGAATTCCTTTCATGAGAGCTATACATATATAATCATAAAATACTGGTGAGGTCAAGTATGCAAAAGCAGACCTGCGGTTGGCACATGTGCTCAGTATCCACATGGTCTAACACCGATCGCATGGATGATTAGCATATAAAATCTCCACCTAGGGGTGTTTTTCTTGTTGTGGCTGTTTTTACTGTTAAAATGAGGCAAAGGTTACTATAAGCTGAACCTCGAGCCTAGCTGTGCATGCAGGACCCCAGAGAAGTCCCTGCCCACCCTCCTACACACCCCACGCCAGGAAGGAATTTGTAGTTAAGAGTTTCTTGGGCTTTTGGTGCAAATTGGCTGGAGATTGGGGAAGCTACATCAGGAAAAAAGGGCTTTTGCTCTCTTTCCAGGCTGTACTAGGTATCAGGGACTTGTAACCTTCTGGTGGTCTGCTGGTATTCTGTAGGGCTCCTTATCTTGCAAAAGAGTTAGGTGCTGATGCACAAAGGTGCAAGTGAAAAGAGCCTGCTGTGAAAGGTGCCTGCTGGGCTTCAAACAAGGGACAAGTCGGTATAGCCTTGTGAACCCCGAAAATCTGAGACAGGTCTCAGTTAATTTAGAAAGTTTATTTTGCCAAGGTTGGGGATGTACACCTGTGACACACCTCAGGAGGTTCTGAAGACATGTGCCCAACTGAGACAGTGAAAAAGATCTGACCTAACTGACTCCATCTTGCTTCTATCCTCCAAGCTGTTCTTGTTCAATCCGGGGCACAGGATGAACAAACTTTGAGAGGAACATAGTTCATAGTTTACCTTTGAAACAAAGAGTATAACAGTTCATTCCCAAAACAAGTCTTACTGCCTGTGGACTAGACCACCAAAAGCCACAAGATTAGAAGTTACGGCAATCTGACTAAATTCAAGATGTGGCTATTTTTTTAAACAGATATCAATGTTTTATTTATTAAAGATTATACAATCAAAGATCATTCTATTATAGTTTTGCAACCCCATGCCAAATTTTGACACCTTATAGTATTTGACAGGGATAAGCATGAAATGGCTTGATTAATAAATGCAAACAAAAATGCATGCTGGAAATTCTTAAGACACCTCTATTATTACTGTACCAATAATTTTAAAGCTAACTTATTTATTAAAGATTTTACTTACGTTACATAAACTTAGAAAGCATTCTACTAATCTTTTCTTTGTTCCTGATAAAGTACTTGATTCAAGTGCTTTTTTAAGCCAATTAATTAGAGCTCTTTTATATATTTTCAGTAGTGAGACATTGTGTACACAACATATAAATATATAGACGTAGTAGGCATGCTGATAGAAGTACCTCTTATAGATTCTTAAGGTGCTTTCTTCCCCTATCTTAGACTTTCAAATTCTCAATAACCTGTTTTACTCCCCTAGGGAGTTGTCAGCTAAGTAGCCTTAAGTTTGCATATTAAAGGAAACAACTCAGGGAAAAATGAAATAGCTAAATTTATATCATAAGGTACAGAGAGAAAAAAGTCTGGTGGTGCTAGAGGGAAATTAAAATGGATTTAATTGCCAATTAAACATAAAATTATAAAAATTATAAAGACCCTTTAAATACACACACACACACACACACACACACACACAAATCCTATAGCTTCTACTTCAGAACTTTAGCCATGAGATAAATACAAATTCACCAGCTTGCAAACAAAAAACCTGTTGTATCCAAACAGTGGTTTTTATCTTAATAGAAAAATAAGTGCATATTTAATGAAGGCAGAAAAGAAATAGAGAAAAAAGAGAACTTAGGAACTCTGTAGTTTGCAGGTCGACTATAAGGCCCTTCCTTCCTCCCTCCCTCCCTCCCTTCCTTCCTTCCTTCCTTTCTTTTTCTTTCTTTCTCTTCTAAAGAAAAAAACGGGATACATGTGCAGCAGAACATGCAGGTTACGTAGGTATATGTGTGCCATGGTGGTTTGCTGCACCTATTGACCCATCCTCTAAGTTCCCTCCCCTCATTCTCCACCCCTCAACAACCCCTGATGTGTGTTGCTCCTCTCTCTGTGTCCATGTGTTCTCAATGTTCAACTCCCATTTATGAGTGAGAACATGTGGTATTTGGTTTTCTGTTTCTGTGTTAGTTTGCTGAGGATGATGGCTTCCAGTTTAATCCATGGCCCTGCAAAGGACATGATCTCATTCCGTTTTATGGCTACATCATATTCCATGCTGTATGTGCACCACATTTTCTTTATCTAGTCTATAATTGATGGGCATTTGGATTGTTTCCATGTCTTTGCTATTGTAAATAGTGCTGCAATAAACATACGAGTGCATGTGTCTTTATAGTAGAATGACTTATATTCCTTCGGGTATATACCAAGTAATGAGATTGCTGGGTCAAATGGTATTTCTGGTTCTAGATCCTTGAGGAATCACCATACTGTCTTCCACAATGGTTGAACTGATTTACATGGGCTCCTTTTTCTTAAGATAAATGTGCACAAAGACCTGATTACTTCCATTTTACATAAACTATGAAAAGACCAGGTTCCATAAAACCTATGGAGTGCTCGAACGGGGGTCATTCTCCTTGTTTTCTCCTCATTCTTAGATTATTTGTTTCCCAGTTTTCTTCTTAAAAAGAGGAACTGAGCTGAGGCCTAGAGGTTTTCTGTGGTGGATCAATATGTGCTGCTTGTGGGCAGGACTCCACACTGGGTCACCACTGAAAATAACAGTTCAGTTCCTCATGCAAATACACACAGACAAGCTGAATAGAGCTTAATTTGGGGAGAAAAAGCAACAGAGAAGACACTTTAGAATGCATCTCTGAACTAGAATTAGGATCCTTAAATAGCAACTTCCTAGAAGGAAAACAAAACAACAGCCAAGACCACTTTTTGTAAACTGCGCTCAGCCACCCCTTAACTTTGTGGCTCTCATCTACTATTACACACAGCAAGGTCAAAGCCAAAGAGGTCAGGTCATGCAATACAGGAAAGCAGAGGTTTAGACTTAAGAAGAATCTACCCATGACTCTTGAAACTCCACAAAGAAAACAAAACACCCCAAAAGGGGTGAGTGGCAACTTTGTTCTGAATTCTTTAAGGGAGTTCAAGTCATTAGAAGACTTCTCTAGATTTGTTGGTACTGCAGATGGCAAAGAGGGAAAGAGGTATAGGGTGGAAGAAAAGTAAATAAAAGAACATTTGTTTTTTAAGACAGGAAGCAAACACAGAAACCAAGTGCATGTTTTTTTGGTTCTTTTTGTTCGTTTTCTTCTTTCGCAGCTGCAAGGAATTTTGGCCAAATTAGAGAGGCTTTGTTACCCATAATTTTGAATTCTCACTTGGATTTGACCAAGTCAGGTAGACTTGGTTAAGTCTGATGGGAGAAAGACCAAAACAACCAACAAAAAATCCAGCAATAGGATCACCAAGCACTCTAATGATAAGGAGAAATTAAGACCAGCAGGTTGTTAAACTTTAGCCAAGACAAAGCCCCAGTTCAGCTACTTACCTAGGAATGGGTCTCAGGCTAAAGACTGCTTTCTACCACCGTAGAAGCAGGAAAAGCACTAAAACTGGTCTTCCCTGCTGGGAGTGAGCTCAAACGCTACATGCCTTTCATCATCATGGAAGCAGCAAATCTTGGCTTCTTTGTAAAGGAAGTAAAAGTAAATCTTGCCTTCCTTATAAAGGAAGTAAAAGCTAATCTTGCCTTCCTTGTACAGGATGGCAAGTAAGCAAGTAAAACTCCAAAAACAAAAATAGGTGGGGGAGTTGTACAGCAAAATAAACTTTAGATCTTCACCAAATTTTGGGAGATCAGGGATTCTTTGCGGTGGGTGCTCCCAGACCTCAGCAAATTGTCCTATTGGTTTGAATCATAAAGTTAGCTCATGCTATTACCAGGCACCAACAGGATATTTATCAAAGGTCAGGGGCATATCCACTCAGAATCCCTTCATGATTACCAAATGTGAACCCTGAAAAACTGGGACAGGTCTCAGTTAATTTAGAAAGTTTATTTTGCCGAGGTTGAGGACGCTCCAGTGATACTGCCTCAGGAAGTCCTGACAACACGTGTGTAAGGTGGTCAGTTCACAGTTTCGTTTTATACATTTTAGGGAGACATGAGACATCAATCAACATATGTAAGATGAACATGGATTTGGTCCAGAAAAGGTGGGACAACTCAAAGCAAAGGCAGGACAACTTGAAGCTGGAAGTGGGCTTCTAGATCTAGGAATCCAACTTACAAGGGATGTAAAGGACCTCTTCAAGGAGAACTACAAACCACTGCTCAATGAAATAAAAGAAGACACAAACAAATGGAAGAACTTTCCATGCTCATGGATAGGAAGAATCAATAATGTGAAAATGGCCATACTGCCCAAAGTAATTTATAGATTCAATGCCATCCCCATCACACTACCAATGACTTTATTCACAGAATTGGAAAACACTATTTTAAAGTTCATATGGAACCAAAAAAGAGCCCACATTGCCAAGTCAATCCTAAGCCAAAAGAACAAAGCTGGAAGCATCACGCTACCTGACCTCAAACTATACTACAAGCTACAGTAATCAAAACAGCATGGTACTGGTACCAAAACGAGAATCTCAAAACCAATGGAACAGAACAGAGCCCCTCAGAAATAATGGCACCCATCACTCTACAACACATCCCTGATCTTTTGACCAATAGCTGGA